GGGGGAGAAAAGGGTAATGGGCAGAAAGGAGGAACAAGTGTGTTTCTGGTTTTTTGCCGTGGACACCCTGGGTAAAGAGAGTTGAAATACTGCATGCTTCCAGAGTGCCCTTATGGTGGGGATGGAGAGGAGCTTAGATGTTACTTTGCAGGCAGGATTTAAGGACAGAGTGAAGAAGGGGGACGAGAATGCAAGGCAAGAACTCGAGGCAAAAACTGTAAAGAGAAAGAAAACACAAAGCACTACGAAAAAAGATAAGCCAAACCTGGACGCAGGAATAAAAGCAAAATCAAGACAAAAAGTGAACGTAAAGCAAAAACCCAGGCTGGAACGCATCAGGCAAGCCGGAGCGATCATGCGTTTTTGCACAGTTTCTTGCGGGGCCTCTTCCACACACTTCCCGTTCTTCACTGCTCCCTCTCCCCTTCAAATGCACGTTAGTTACTCAATCGGCAAAGGATCTACGCCATTTAGTCCTTATATCCACCTATCCCAGTCTCCGTCCCCTGCCTCGGACGAAGCCAACCACACACCACCCCCAGTTTCACCCGCCACATTCAAAGTCCCCCCCTTCGCCACGTGGCAGCCCTACCTGCCGTCGGAAGAAAAAATTTTTTGCAGCGCGTGTATGAGCCGAGCCGAGTTTTGGTAATTGTGATAGCAGTAGAGGATTGGAAAAGCCAGTGATGTCTAGAGAAAACCATTTGCAGAGAGATCTAATTTTTGTCGAGAGCGATGGTTCATGTACAAATTTTTATCTAAAATGCGAGTTTTGGGAGTTGGTTTTCTCATTTCATGGTACAGGTGGTTGGTTTTTTTTGCAAGAAAATATTTTCTTACCTGGAACGTATACCCGAAGTTTCAACTTCCCAGTTTTCCCGGTTGCTGAAATGAAAGTGGGTGACAAAATGCACTCGCTTCCGCGTACACACACAGTCTCTCGACCATATGCGCATTTGCTGGCTGTAGCAGCGCTATTGCGCTGCACAGCAAAAACGCATAAAAACTAGGTGTAATGAACGCGGATTATTTAAAGTTAATTTGGAAGTAATAAGTGCAACCTGTATATATTAAGGGGAGAGGAAAAAACAAAAGTAAAAACAAATAAAAAATTGTTTCACCCCATTAAGTCACATGCACTAATATTTAGTCCCACAACTGAAATTCATCAACCCTAGCCCCTTTTTTTAGTGCGTATTTCTTGCATCTATTGCAAAGTAAACACATAGAGAGGTTTTGCATGTATGTATGTATATGTGTGTGTGTGTGTGTGTGTGTGTGTGTGTGTGTGTGCACATGCGTCCTTATTTGTATGTGAATATCTATCCGTATATTTCAGCCTCCAGATCTACGAAACACATGCCTAGTGAGGTCTTAATTTTGGTAAGAGTTTGCAATTCAAACGAAATATTGGATGACGATTTTGTACCATAAGTGGGCAACAGACGTTGAATTTGTTGGGAAGCAATTGAGTTGTTAGTCGAGAAGCAATCCTGACAGCCGATTGTCGATCCTATCGAGGGGGCGGATTGAATGGAAGATATCCTGGATAAAGAACACGAAGATGGCGGGAAAATTCGCCAGCTAAGTCATTTCAAAGAATGACCGTTGAACATCTGTTCATTTTTCTTTATGCAAAATTTACGGTGATTTACGCTAGTGAGCACACGAGGTAGGTGCAATGCACCAATCATTCGTATGCGGTTAAACGACCTGTCGCTTAAAATTCGGAGCAACCCAGGCTGGAACGCACTAGGCCAGCCGTTGCGATCATGCATTTTTGTACCAAAATTGAAATAATTAAGTTAACTGCATGAATAGTTGTTTCTTCACACCTCCCTCATGCGTTCAATACCGTAAATCATGTAAATTTTGCATTGTAAATGGGAATGCTATTATTTCGTATCGCTTCCTTATCTTACAGATCAAACATCACATGGAACAGGCTCATTACACTTAAGTCAAAAATAACATACCAGGGTATGTGCGGTTTTACAGCCCCCTCAAGGTCAATTACACCTCTCCTACTCCTCCACGCCCAAATCCTCCCTCTACATAAGCCCGGCCTTTGGACGCAGAGCTCATTCTCCGCTTCACTCGAGCTGAGTGGCGGGTGTTAGTTTGTGGCTCTTCTGCCCTCAGCTGTCACATCCCTTGCCCTCTTTATTTTATTTTGATAAACCCCTTCCTCCTTTTACTTTATCTTTGATGAGTTCCCCCCCCCCCCTTGGGTAAGCGGTTAGTTAGGAGCTGGCTGTAGGGGTTAGGCCGTGCCTTAGAGACCGGGGTATCAGTTTACGTGAAACTGGGATATCAGTATATGTGGATGAGAAGATGTTGCTTGGGGTACCAGTGATTATTATTTCATATAGAGTCGGGTGAGATTAGTTGACTAAGGAATTAGGCTGTGGGGACATCACAGGATTGTTACTGACTGTTATGTATATGTGTCTAGATCTAGATATTGTACATAACCATATTAATGCTATCGCTATTTTAGTGTTGTATATTGTTGCATGTATATTGTTGTATTGTTGCATTGGTTACCGTATTGGTTTTATAATCCAAATTTGAGGTGAGTAAAGTGATTATCTTCCGTCGACGCATAAGAGCGACAGCTCGTCTTCTAAATCGCGTGTGCAATCAGTTGGTACCGAGGCCCCCACGGTTGTGGACGTTGCCTCGTCGTCAGTTTCCTTCGTTAAGGTATTGACTCAGTGGAGGCCCCCGGAAGTCCGGCAGTCGCCTCCAGCTAGCTGCACCAGTAGGGCCTAAATTTACTGCGTAAAAGGAAACAAACAATTTTCGCTTAGCAATTTCCACTTACAATTTCAGCAATTTCCGCTTTTATTTGAAAATTACTCAGCTGTTTAATGAGTAATTTCCCCGCCAAAAATTTAAGTGCCCGTACACAAGAACAACGCATGCCTGGGGACTGAATTTAATAACGTTAAGTGAATCATGGGCTGAGAACATCCCCTGAAAATTTCGGCCTCCCAGCTCTGCTAGTTCCTGAGTTGGCCGTTTTTCCGCCAAAAAAGTTTCACGAGGCAAAAACGCATAAAAACGCAAGATTACACCAGCAAGCCTGGTGTTCTCCATCCTAGAGTTTGTATTGCTTTATTTACTGTTATGCGTTTTCGCCTACATGCAAATTGCAAAAACGCATATTATGAAGAACCTGTCTGTTTGTGTGTGTGTGTTCGCCTGTCCGGGTATTTCAATTCGGCAAACAAGCAAGTTCCAGCACCAAGATTTTGCAAGTAGGTTTCCCGACCAAGTGCCACAAGAACTGCGGTACCAACCCTCACACAAATCTGGGCCCTGCGTACGAGGAGGTGAAAGTTCTGGTGGGAAAATTGATAAGAAACAACCGTTCATGCATTTTATTTCAAGTTTGGTACACGATGAAAGACTGGTAATCACATGGGTAATCATGTACACATGCGGCTCTATAATAATACCTTCATCCTAACCGACGTTCATTCTCCGGCATCTGGAAGAGGTTAAAGCATAGTGTATCTAGAAATACAACAGTAGCATATCGCTGGCTGATTCTGCTGTGCCAGATGCACGCAATAGTCGTAGGCACCAGAAGTGGGAGAAAAGCCAGAAAAGCTAAAATCGCCCCTTCCCCTCCCACCCGTTGCTCTCGCGAATTGCAACACGCTTTACCGCACCACGTCCAGCAGCACTCTTCACGACGAAGATCCTGTTCAAGCCGAACAAACGAACACAACCGCACAGGCGTGCACAGTAAACATAAATGTGACCACGTGGAGGAAACGCAGTGATCGACCGAACACTATTCGACAGTACGCCGTCATGCCGCCATTTTTCCGGCATTTTGAATGCCGAGAAATTATCGCACATACAACTGCGTGTATGCATTAAGCTCATAAACCTCTTACGTGCAGCTGATTTTTTTTTTTTAAATTAGTCTAAACTAAGAACTCGGGCTTTGCTGTACGTGGCGTTATCCAGAGTTACGTCGCTTTCCGCGCTGTACATAATTGGCACATTCAACACGCCTCGGCAGCCGCATCCAAATGATCCATTGCGAGCTGAACTGAGGCGACAGGAGCACTGCTTACTTCAGCTCCACTTCAATTTTCTCCGAACAGAACGCTTCGTTGTCTAGATTGTATATTACAATATTTAGAGCTTTGCAAAGCACCGCGGCCAGATAACACCGCAGCACTAAAAATCCACAAAAAACCGTGCAAAAACGCATGATCGCACCGGCTCGCCTGAAGTTTTATATTGATGCTCAGGCACGGCGCAGGAGTATAACCTGTTATAATATGTACAACTGAAATAAGAAAGGCGTTCATTTTATAACTTGCATCACATAAACATACAACTGAAGCTATTTCAAGCTCTCTTCAAAACAGATACATACACTGAAATACACCTAATTAAACACAAACATACCCATACATAGCTTACTTCATTCAGTTAGTTAACTATGAAGACATGCTGAAAGAATGGAAAATACGTACTAATACTGTGTTTTAGCAACGGCCGGCCTATTGACCTACATACGTGCGGTTGTTATTTTTTAACCATCTTCCAACCATGCGCGCGTGTTATTTTTTTGCAACACAGTTGTTTAGAAATAGGGAAGGACTGGTGGATGAATTGGCCCGCTAGGCGTATAGCATGCGACACCCATGGCTGGTTCCATTCCGGCCACAAAGCCTAATATTTCACACATAAATGCGGAACCTCCAAGCCCGATAACATTCACGGCAGCACACTGGAACTGAAGACATGCTGCGGAACACTGATCGGCATCCTGCAACGACCACAATGATTGTTACAATTCTCAATCTTGAAAAGATGCAAGGCTGAGACAGCCATTTAGCGCAATTGTTAGGTGGTTACTGGATGTTAGCTCGGCGTTACGCATGAGACGCGAAGCATCTCTCTTTTTGGTGCTAGGTAACGTTACTCTGGGGTGAGTGGCGTAGACATCCAATACGGCATGTAGAGAGGACGGGTGACGTGTTGCGAGTTTTCCTCCCTCCCCTCAGAGAGAAGGGCGAGAGGAAAAGGAGGGTGGGGGAGGGGATGGGGATCGGTTCTACTCGGTGGACTTAATAGCTATGTAGCATAGATTCTTTGTTAGTTGATTAGACCACATACATTTCGAGGGAAGGGGAAGTAGGCGGTGGGAGGGGGAGGGGAAGGAAAGGGCGAGAGTGGCGGGGTGATCGGTGGAAAGGAAGAAGAGCTGTGATTCTAGTTTTTGAACGGATACTCGGGGTGGGGAAGGGGCTGAATTGCTTGCTTCCAAAGTGTACTTAATATGGGGATGGAGAGGAGCTCAGATGTTGCTCTGCAGGCAGGATTTGGGGACAAATAGAGAAAGGGAACGAGGATACGAGTCAAAAGCTCGAGAAAATGGAGACAGCAGTAAAGACAAGACAATACAGCACTATAAAAAAGTAAATTAAAACAAACCTGAGCCTATAAATAAAAACAAAATCAAAAAAAAAA